CTGAATGCAGATTTGTGGCCTTGAAGTGTGTACCTATGTGACATATTCTGTGCAATCATAGATCTCTCTCTCCAGACATAAGGAGGTGTATTTAGACACGTGTATGTGTGAGTCCCTGTAACTTTGTGTGTGTTTAGGACCACATAGTTTATATTTTATTTCCTGAAATTTATAATGTCTCACTCTGACCACCAGGGCTTGCTGTCTGTGTTTATTCCTTTCCAGGATGAAGAGAGAGAGAGAGAGAGAGAGAGAGAGAGAGAGAGAGCGTGTGTGTCCCTGAATCAGTACTTGTCTCCATTCCACCACTAGGGGGCAGTGTGTTGTCCAAAAAGGGAGGCTCCCAGTGTTCCGTTTGCCAGTTTGTCTGCGTTGGTGGGGTGTGGCTGGTGGCATCGGGCAGTGCCAGGCAGAAGGGCTTTCACCCCCCGCCCCCTCGGGGGACTGACTGGAGAGGCTTTCTGTCGAGCCACCCCTTCCCCAAGGTCCCTATTCCAGCGCTGAACAAAGCCTAATTGGTAGGTCACTGTGCAGACACAGGCTGGGCCAGGCGGGCCCAGAGTCTAGCGTTTGGCCCCGGTTCCTTCCTTCTGCCTGGAAGGTGTGGGCGGGGAGGAGAGTCCACTGCCCGCACATCCTTTTCCCGCACCGAAGCTGGCGGGAGCCTGACTTCTCAGGTTCCAATCGCTCTTCACACTTCCTTATCTGTGTGGCCTTGGGCAAAGTCCTCTCTGAGCCTCAGTTTCCTCAGTCTGTAAAATGAGAATAATTCATGTTATCTCTCAGCGTCACTAAATGAGAGACCAGATGGAAAAGGGCCCGTCCCAAAGCCGTTGCTGCCCCACCCCCCACCCCACCAGCTATTATAAGTCTGTTAGCTCACTTGCAGGCTTCCCCCTAGTCACCAACACTGCCCTGTCCTGGGGACAGCCTGGGGATGGGGAGCAGCTTTCCTAAACATGGGGAACCCCACAGACCCACGCAGCCCCTCCCCCCAGCTCTGGATGTCCTGGCTGCTGGGTGACCTGCGGCACCTCTCTCTGCAGTACGTGCATGAGGGCGGCGTGGAGGACCTCGTGAGGCCCCTGCTGGCCATTCTGGACAGACCTGCGAAGCTGCTGCTACTGAGGGACATCAGGTGGGGTGGAGGCTGTGGGGAGGGCTTGGGGGCGGAAAGGAGACCCCGGAGAACTCCCCCTACTGTACCCCACAAGAACTGTGCCCCTGCCTACCCCTCATCTCTCGCCCTCCCCCAGGAGCGTGGTGGCCCCCACCGACCTCGGCCGCTTCGACAGCATGGTGATGCCCATGGAACTGGAGGCTTTTGAAGCCCTTAAGAGCCAGGCAGGTCAGCAGCTGGGGATAGGACGCGCAGATTCCGAGCCCCAGCTGGGGATGGCAAGAGGGCCTCCCAGGGGAGAAGAGGCACAGATGACCTTCAGCTGTGTCCATCATGGAGCCTGGCAGGGGCCCAGGCCTCTGAGGGGATCTCCTTTCCCAGCAGTGCGGCCTCCTGCCTTGAGACCAGCCCGGCAGGACACACCGCCCAAGCGTCACCTCATCACACCTGTGCCTGGTCAGTCGGAGTCCCAGCTCTGGGGGAGCGGGCACACCCCTGGGGAACCGGGGAAGGGAGAACAGGCCTTCCATCCCTGCCCCCACATAGGGTGTCATGGCTTCAGAACGCTGTCTGGTCCCCTGAAGGAAATCCCTTGTCCCCCAGAGTCACATTTATCACTGCCACTCACTACCTGTACTATTATTTACTTAATAATTGGTTTTAAACCCACTCACTTTTTAAATCTAGTCTCCTTCTACGTAATAATCTCTGAGAAATGACCAGTTTGGTGTGCGAGTCATGTTTTTTCTAAGACACAGACTGTGATAGAAAGCTTTAAAGTACTGTGTTAGCCGGGAACCTAGGCAGAGTCCCTCCCTGTGGGAACACCACCGCAGGGCCTGAGCCAACCAAGCCAGGGTCTCACGCGCCCTCCACCAGCAAAGGCAAGGACTGGAGCCTGGCAGGGTGGCCTGGGCTGGTGAGGAGGGGCAGCCTGACCTTGGCCCTCTTCCCCAGACAGTCGTGGAGGTTTCTACCTGCTGCCTGTGAATGGCTTCTCAGAGGAGGATGACAATGGGGAACTGAGGGAGCAGCTGGGGGGCCTCCAGCTCTCCCTGCGGGCCTCTGCTCCCCACCATCCTCATAAAGGGATCCCCCCTCTCCAAGATGTGCCAGTAGATGCTTTCGCCCCACACCGAAGCACCAGCACCCCCCCTCCCCAGCCACCTCCTGTCGCTCCCCGGCCCCCAAGGCCTAACTGGCTGCTGACGGAACCCCTGACCCCAGAGGACCCACGGCAGAGCCAGAGCCAGGGCCTGGCTCAGAGCCACAGCCGCAGCCGCAGCCGCAGTCGCAGCCGCAGCCGGTGCCGAGGCAAGTCCCCGGGATGCAGGCGCTCCCCATCCCCAGCACCTATCCCCACCCCGAGTGCCGCTGACGGGCGCTACCACAAGCCTCGCAAGGCCAGGCCTCCTCTTCCACGACCTGTGGATGAGCAAGCGGCCAAGGCAGGGAGCCGTCAAGGCCACTCTGAGAATGGAACTGGCAGGACAGCCATGGAGGCAGCTGAGAAGGCCCCTGGCGGGGAGCTGAGGACAGTCACGCTGTCCAAGATGAAGCAGTCCTTGGGTGAGTCCACATGGGACTGGGGCTGGCAGATGGGGCTCTTGGGTTTGGATGAGGTTCCTGGCCTTGGTTTTGGGGTACAACTTGGGGTTCTGGTATTAAGATTTGGATATGGGGGTCTATTGGGGAGGTTTGAGATTGGAGGGGGTGGGAACTGGAGGATTTTTGGAGTCAAAGACTATGTGGGAACCGAATCTGGGGATTTGGGAGAAGTTGGGGTCAAGACTTGGTGCTGGGGTGCTGGGTTTCTTCTGGGAGCTCTGGGGTGAGGGGAGTGGCCACACACTCACCCAGTGCTTCTCTCTCACTAGGCATCAGCATTTCTGGGGGCATTGAGTCCAAGGTGCAGCCCATGGTGAAGATAGAGAAGATCTTCCCTGGGGGGGCTGCCTTCCTCAGTGGGGCCCTGCAGGTGGGTGAAGAGTACCCAAGCCCACTCCCAAGGTCCAGAGCTGAATTGGGGAGTGGGGGGGGCGGAACCTGCTCATCTTCCAGCCAGGCAGGTTTAAACCAGGTCACGGGAGGAGGCTTAGGTCCGGGGCGGGGGGGGGGGGGGGGGGGGGGGCGGCGGCGGTGTCAGGCCGGCAAGATGAACAAGCCCAGGGAGAAATCTGTCCCCTCATGCCAGCCTGGGCCTGAGGGTGGCCCATCCTGTTCCACCCCTATCCCCAAGGGACAAAGGGCCATTGTCTGTGCCTTACCCTGCCCCCCACGGCCCCAGGCACAAAAGTCCCATTGTCCATCCTCTCCACCCAGATGGGGAGGAGTGTCCTAGCTGCTGGAGTTGAGAGGTTGGATGGTGGGATGACCTGAGAAAGAAGGGCTGTGATTTCCCCACCCCCATCCCAGGCTGGCTTCGAGCTCGTGGCAGTGGATGGAGAGAGCCTGGAGCAGGTGACCCACCAGCGAGCAGTAGATACCATCCGCCGGGCTTATCGAAACAAGGCTCAGGAGCCCATGGAGCTTGTGGTCAGGGTCCCTAGGACCAGCCCAATACCCTTACCCCCCTGACTTGTCAGCCCTCACTCATCAGCGCCTTCCTGTTGACCATTCCCCTGCCCACTGACCCCTTGATGGTACTCCTTCCCTCCCACTGCCTCCTAGAACCTCCCATTAATGCTCTGCTCACCAGAATCTAGATTCCTCCCACCGATACCGGGCTCCTCCTTCAGAGGGCCAGCCCAGTCCCTTCTCTAGCCCTCCAGAGACTCCTGATGCTAATCCCAGACTCCCTCCCACCTATGCCATGACTCTTCCCACTGACTTCAGATCCTCCCACTGACTCCCAGGACCCTTCTGCTATCTCCCAGACCCCACCTACTAACCTCCTTGAGACTCAGGAACCTCCCACTCTTGCTTGCTTGACTTGGCTCCTCCCAAAGCTCCCCCCACCTTCTTCCCTCTCCAGCTATCACTAAGGCTCTGCCCTTTCCAGATAACGTGGTGTCAAGGACAAGGTGCTCCTGGGTAGCCTGTGTCACTCGCTCACTGCCCACAAACTCCCAGGATGGGAAGAGATTGGGAGAAAGCCAAGGTCTGGAGCTTGGGATTCATGGGCACTTTCTCTTGATGTTCCTTTTAATGCCCCCAAGCACTGAGGAACATGGGCTCTCAGATAGGGCTTTGAAGGGTCATAGCACCCATCCCCCAGCCCCAAGTAGTGTTCTGTGCAAGGGACAGGACGGAAGGCTTTTCTAGTTTCTCAAACCCTGAGAGACCATTTCATGTCGTAGTCCACTAGGACCCCACACTTTCTACTGGATTTGTCCTCCCCTTATCACCCTTGCTCTCCCCAAGACCTCTATGAGGAGTAGGGGAATAGCCAGCAAATTGGAGGGGAAGCTGGGGAAGGGGTCAAAGAAGTTCCCATCTCTACCTAGCATACTCGTCTTTTTTAAAAACAAAAAATTTTTTTAATTTTTTTCTTTGGGTTTGTACAAGAAATTTACAGTGTGGAAAAATATACAAGTGAAAACGAGGCCATAAACCTGGGTGTGGGGAGGGGCTCCTTGGTCACAAACACAAATAAACAAGACAATTCTGAGTTCTTCCTTTGGTCTGACTACAGCCCCCTCGCCCCAGGAGAGAGGCTGCAGGGCTAGAGCATGGGGGTCAGACCCCAGTCCCAGCCCTGGCCCCCCACCCCCAACATAGGCAGAGAGGGGGCAGGCACATCTGGAGCAGCTGGTGCTGTCTGGCTCTCCCTGACTTTGGGGTAGGGGAGAGTGTGGAAAAGAGGGACCCCCCTCCTCCTCCCAGCCCCCCCACCCCCTCGTCAGGGACAAATGCGGTTGGCAGAGTGGCAATGGCAGCAGGAGGCGTGAGATGGGTCAAGTTGAGTAGGAGCCTCTATGAGACAGTGAAATGGGGACCTTCAAGGGGGCTGATCTTGCTCAACCTAGTCAGAGGGCTGCCCCCAGGGTCCTGGCAGAGGCCCAGAGACCTGGATCTCGGGGCACGAGCGGCTCTGGGGCCCTCAGACCCGGGGGACCTCCGTGGCCCCAAGGTTCCCGCCCCACTGCAGTCAAGCTCCCTGTTGCTCTGGGATGCCAAGGGCGCTAGATCTCAGTAGCTGTGATCTCCTCCAGGCAGATGCAGGGGGCCGGCTCGGCCAGGCCCAGGTCAGCGAGCTCCCGGGCCTCCAGCTCCAGGCTGAGCTGCTGCAGCTCCTGCTCCAGCTGCCGGTTACGCCGGTACATCTGGACGTAGTTGTGCTGCAGCTGCTTCTGGTAGCGGATCACCTGCTCCTTCTCCGCCTGCCAGGCCAGCCGCTCCCCCTCGAAGCTCTCCCGCTGCTCCTCCCCCCGCCGCCGCTCCCGCTGCAGCTCCGCCCGCAGCCGTTCCACCTGGGCCCGCAGGCTGCCCCCGACCCCGGCGGCCGCCCGCTGCGCCTTGGCCTCATCACTCTCTGCCAGGAGGAAAGGGTCCGTGGCGGCAGGTGGCCCGGGGGGTTCCCGGAGTCCGGCTGCCTCGGTGTCCAATTGGCCAGCTTTCTCTCGGAGTCGCTCGGCCTCCTGGCGGTGCCGCTGCAGCTCCTGGGAACAGGCCTCCAGCTCCAGCTCCCGCGCCCGGGCCGCCTCCTGCAGGCCCCGAGCGCGGCCCTCGCTGACCCGGAGAGCAGCTCGGGCCTCTCGCAGCGCCACCCGCAGGGCCACCAGCTCACTGCCCTTCTGCACCAGCTCTGCCTGGGACTCCTTCAGCTGCTGCTTCAGCAGGGAGATCTCACCTGACTTCTGGCACACCTAGGGGTGGGAGGGGGTCGTGAAGCCTGGTGAGAAGTTTTCTCCCACAGGCTCGGGCTCCGAGATCACGCGGGCTCTCCGGGGTCAGTTTGTTTGATCCTGACACCCACTACATGGACGGAGACACTGAGGCAAGCCTAGTGACATGTCCAAAGTCATATGGCTAGTAAGTGGCAGAAGTAAAACGCAGACCCAGATCTTTTTCCTTCAAAGCAGGTGACTTCCAACCATCATGACGCACTGCAGAGCCCCAGGGACTGGCTGGTGGCAGGTTGTGCAGGCGTGGGAGCCACCAAGAGGCACCCCAGCATTTTGGGGAAACGCGCAGACGCTGGAGCCACAAGGCCTGGGTTGCGATCTCAGCTCTGCCACTGACTAGCAATCATTCCGGGCTCCAAGCCTTCTCAGCTCAGAAATGGAGATGAACAGCCACTTCACAGCGCTGCTCTGAGGATCGCAAGATCTACTCTAAGTAACAGCTAGAAAGTTCTGGGCGCAGAGCAGGCTACATTCCTATTCTTATTGGTTGGGTGGCAGTGGACGGGAATGCCATTGGCTATGTGAGCACTCGACCTGGCCCGAGGACACCTACAATGGTGGCACGAGGAGACCCTCCCCCTACCCAGAAAGGGAAGCCTGAGGGGGACCTTCATCTCCCGGAGGTGAGGACGGGGAGGATCTCTGGGAGTAGCAGGCTGGAGGGGGAGTGGTATGGCTGGACCCTTTGAGCCCCGCTCCCCGTCCCTCCGGGCCTGGCCCACCTCCCACTTGGTCTCCTCGAGCCGCGGCCCGAGCTCCCGCTGTTCCCGCTCAAAGGTGGCACAGCGCCGCTCCAGCTGCTCCCGCTCCTGCAACAGCTGCGCGAAGTCGTCTTGCAGCTGCCGCTTCTCCTGCTGCAGCTGGAACACCTGCAGCTGGAGCAGCTGCTGGGCCCGCTGCGCCCGCTGGGCCTGGGTGGCACTGTCGTCCCGCAGTGTCTCGCGTTCCCGTGGCCAGTGCCGCTGCCGCTCCTCGTAGGCCTGGGGACAGAAGGCAGACCTGGGTCCCAGTGGCTCCCCTCCACATCCAGCACCCCCCGCCATGGCCCTCCACCAGTCCCAGGTCACCGACTGCTCTGGCAGCCTATGGCTGGGCTCAGGGACAGGAGACTCCACTCAGCCATGAGAAAAAGTAGGGTAACTCTAATCACGACCACTTCTAGGATTCTAGAAACGTCCAGAATAGCAAACGCTTCTGCAGGAATTCCTAGGTGCCAGGCGTCATTCTAAGCACTCCACAGCCTTTGCCTGACTTAATCCTCATAATAACCCTAGGAGGTCAGAAATCTCCCCATCTATAGCTGAGGAAAACGAGGCTCAACACCGTGAAGTGTCTCGCTCAAGTCTGAAAGACAAAAATGACGGTGCTGGCTGGGCATCCTCACCCGCCCCGCAGGTGAAGCCCAGACAGCTGGGCGGAGGACTCCCCGATGCCTCACCGGCGCCCCCCCACCCCCCACCGTGTTCCCCCAGCACACACGGAAATGCTCCTGGGACTCCCAGCTCCTATGGATGTCCTGCCACACCACCCCCGTTATTGCTGCTGGCCACACCTGGCACATGGTCACCTCACTCTCGTCCAGACTGTCCCGCAGCTGCTGCAGCTCTGCCTCACGGTCGTGGAGCTTTCCTTCCAGGACACAGTGCAGCAGGGCCTCATCCGAAGGGGGTGGTGGGGGTGGGGGTGGGGGTGGGGAACGTTCCCCACAGGAGCTGCTGTCAGGGGAGGCCCGGGTGCCGCTGCCCAAGAGCCCCCCAGCCACACGGCCTCCCAGGGAGCCTGTGCTCTTGCTGGAGGAAGATCGACCACTGTCCGAATGGGAGGGCCCAGTCGGGGCCCCTCGGGCTGGTCCGGGCATCGCCCCCCGCCCCGGGCCGTGAGAGGGCAGGTGACCACCAGGGGAGTGGCTGGCTGGCTCGGCACCCCCGGTGCTGTAGGTGGGCAGGCTGGACAGTGAGTTTCGGCCCGAGTCAGACAGTGTCCCCGATGGGCAGCCGCTGGCCCAGCCACTCAGTGCCAAGGGTTTGTCAGCAGCCGAGGAGGAGGAGGAAGAGGAGGACGAGGCAGGGCCCCCAAACAGCTGTGTTAGGCTGCCCTGGCTCCCAGACAGTCCGGCGGCCCGAGGACCCAGGAAGCTAGGTAGGGATGGTGCCCCTCGAGGTTTGGGTAGCACTGGCTTGAAGGCTGTTGGGCGGATCAGGATTTTCTCCATGTTCTGAAATGAGGTGCCACGTGACACTGGGGATGAGCTGCCCGATCTTTCAAAGCCCTTGTCATACTCCCTGCCCTCCCATCTGGGGTCCCCGATCCCCACACATTAATACTAACTGCTACCACCAGCTGAGGGCCTCCTGACATCCCTTATATCAAGCCATTTAAAAGGCTCATCTCCGATCATCCCAACAGCCATACGAGTAAAATATGATCACTACGCCCATGTTACAGATGGGCAAGTGGAGGCTCGGCAAAGTTAAAGGCCTTATTCACAGTCAGATTCATAGCTGTTGCATTCACAGGAGTCGGAGCAGCTTGCCTCTGAGCACACGTCGTGTGACAGGCACCAGACTCAACACCGACATATGTCATGTGATGGAATGCTCTCGACCATCACTGGAGAGCTGACATGGTGCGTCCATATTACAAATACAGAACCTTGGGCTCAGAAAGGTCAAGTGACTTCCCTGAGGTCATGCAGCCAGAATGAGACCGAGCTGGGATTGGAACCCAGGTCTGGTGACTCTGCAGCCCACGTCTCTCCTCTAAATCGGCCCCCAAATTCCAGCTTCTTCAGGGGGCTCCTGATTCCACCCTGGCCCCAAAGAAAAGGCTGGTCCTCACCTTCTCCAGCTTTCCAGAGACAGGGATGAGCTTGGGTGGGGGGCCGCGGAGATGGGCACTGCGTGCCCGCTGTTCTCGGGCATCCTCAATGTCACTGCTTGGGCTGGGGGGTGACTCTGCCCGGAAGTCCTCGTTGATGTAGGTGAAGCTGGTGGCAGGGACGGCCTTCCTAGGGGGCACTGCTGGGCACAGCAGCTCCTGTGCCTCATAGCCACCCCGTAGCAGGCCATCCTGCTGGCGGAAGAAGGTAGGCCCAGGGGGGCCGTGGTGGCGGGGAGGCGCTGGCCCCCCCGGGCAGGGCCGGCCTGAGATGAGGCTGCTCACGCTGCCCATGGCTGGAGCTTGTGGGGCAGTAGTGGCCTCAGGAGCGGGCTCCAGTGGCACTGGCAGAGTCTGTACAATGGCCATGGCGACAGAGGCTCAGGCCTGGCCAAGGGCCTCCAGGGGAACCTGTGAGCAGGGCAGTGGTGTCAGAGTCCTTTCACCTTGAGCCCCTCCCTATACAAGTCCCTCAGTCTCCTGACCCCTTGTCCTACATCAGACAGCTTCCTGACATCAGTCCATGATGCCCTGATCCCCCAGGGCTCCTTCTCCAAGCACTGGCAGGAAACTCAGATCTTCCTGGGATCCAGATCACCGCCCAGCTCTGGTCTGAACAGGGCTAAGGGCTGACCCTACCAAGCAAAGACGATGAGGGGAAGGGAGGACTGGTGGTTATGCAGGGCCCCAGCCCATCCCTCCCAGAGGCTGGGACGCCAAGTTTAGGAGGGAGTTCTCTACCAACACCCAGCACAGGTTCCCAGTCCCCTGGGACAGGTGGCCTCATTAGAGGGTACTTGGGGCAGAGGCAACCTCAGGGACACAGGGACTCAGATGGTAATTAGCAAATAAAGAGCCAAGGCCAGGCAGTGCCCAGCCTCCCCCAAGCTGGGCCTCAGTTTCTCCCAGACAGAGAGGCGGCAAGGGTGGAGCTGGCCAAACAAGTAACCCAGAGCTTTTAGGGAGCCCACAGGTGCCCTCTGGGGTCTCCTGCCTTCTAGAGGTGGATGCAGGCTCATGCTTGCTTCCATGCCAACTCCTAGCCTCACCACACCCAATGAGTCTGGCCTACAGGAGCCCACACAGGCTTGCCGCCAACCTCTGGTTCTGTGAAACCATCAGGCTTTAGACATTCTCTGAGAAGCCCCAAGGGGATGAGGATGGAAGCCCCACCATCACCCACCATCACAGCAGCTGTTCGAAGATCTCCCTTCCCTGGAACCCAGGGAAGAGGGCTCCACCTCCCCAGGCTCTGCTCCTTCCCGGAAGGGGACAGCAAACCTCCGCCCGGAACTCCCTCCCCAGTCCGGAGGCCGAAGACCAGGACTCCGGCATCTGCTGAAGTCATCATGCAGAGCGGGGGCCAAGAAGTGGACAGAGAATCGCGCAGGAACAGGAGTTTGTGTTTGTACTTATCTGTGTGTGTGAGACCATGCATGAGTACTTAACAATGTGTTGACGCGAAAATGTGTGAAAAGGAATTATTGTGTGTATGCGCCTGTTTGAGCAGCCGTATCAATACATTCCTATTATCCATGTGTGCAGATTAACGTGTCATATGAGTACGAGTGTGCATTGGGATCCCTCAGGAAATACGTAAAAGTAATAACTGTGTATATGATACGTGAATTTGTGGTGTATGAGCTCAACTATCTTGAATGTCTTTGGATGGATGTCCCTTCAGGTACACATGAGTTTATATGTAAAACTCCCCGTATCTTACATGAGCACATGAAGAGGAAAGTGAGGGTGCATAAGTATGTGCAGAGGAGTGTGTGTGTGCATGTGTGTACAGAGCATGTGTGAGAGTGGGTAGGAGCCTGGGTGAAAGCAGGGCCAACTGCGTGAGCAGAAGCCTGGTTCTTGTCACTCACTGGAGTGTGGGGAAAGGAGACACACATTCTCTGACTCTGGCCTCCTTCTTTCTGGCTGGTATTCCCCTAGGCCTACCCTCCACCTCCCTACCAAGTCAAAGGACCCTGAGAACCAGGAAGGTATCCAGACTGAAGGTGGAGAAGCTAGGGGTTGGGACCTGGGGAAGAGTAGAGCCTACTACCAAGGGCCAGACCTGGGCTAAGCAGATGGCACATGCCATCTCCTGCCCTCTCCCACACCACTCCAGGGCACAGAGAAAGCTGTGGGGAAGGGGATTCTTAGGGGGCAATGGAGGCCGGCACCTCTGTCCGCATTTGCCCACTTCAGTGAGCCCTGAGAAAGTGAGAAATAAGGGCAAGAGAGAGACAGACTCAGAGAAAGACAGACCCCAAAGACAAGGGACAAAGACTCAGAGAGGCCCCAGGGTCAGGCAGACAAGGAGACAAGCTGACCCAGTGAGCCTGGGTCCCTGAATCCCATCCCACAAAGCCAGCGGCCCCTAACCCAGAAGAGATATAAAAACTGGGCCCTAAGAGCCAGACACCCACGGAGCCAGGGCCAGGCCTCTGGAAAGCCAGGCCCAGCCAGCCCGGCTCCAAGAGCGGGAGCCCGAGAGAGAAGGAGGGGCAAGTGGAGGCTCCATTTTGAGAAATGCGTTGCGGCTGTGGGAGAGGGAACCCCTGGCTCCCCCCAGCACTCCCTGAGTAATCACTCTGGCCCAGCACACTCACACACACACCCTTGGGCTGGGGGCACCGAGCGCTGGGTTCAGCCAGTGCCCGAGGCAGATCTGGCTAAGCTGAACTCCCACAAACCTGTTTTGGGGGCTGAAGAGTTAGGGAAAGTCTCCCCCCACCAAACTCCAAACACCGGTCAAGCGGGATCAAGTCTGAGATCACGAGTTCCCATTCCGCGACAGGAAGCCGGAGCCCCCAACCCACCCTCTAAAGCCTCCCCCGCTTCCCCCGCTTCATTAAGTGGGGGCGGCTGGGGGCGGCTGGGGGCTGCAGCCTCCCCACCCGCCCTCCGCCGAGCAGAACTTGGGGGCGCCCCCGGGTCGCCTCCGAGCCCCGGCCCCCCCTCACCTCCGCCGCGCCGCTCCATGCTCAGTCCCGGGCCGCCCCCAGCGCTCCACAGGCGCGCCGCCCGGCTCCAACCCGCGCGCGGCCACTCGGAGCCGCCCGGCCCGGCCCGGCCCCGCCTCCGCGGCGCCCCCCGGCCCGACCGGCCCCCGTCCGGCCCGAGTGGGCGGCGCAGCGCGGGGGAGGGGTCCGAGGGGCGTCCCCGCCCCGGGCGCGGACACGCGCAGGCACCCCGCGTCACGCGAGGGTGGCGGGACGCACGCGGGGGCCGCGCCGCGGGACTCAGGATCACCGCCCCCCCTCCCAACCTCTGAAGCCCAGTCGGCTCAGGACTCGGTAGCGGCGGCGGGTAACCCTCTACCCCTACCCGGGCCCGGGGGCCAGCGGCAGCTGGTCATTGTTCGAGCACAAAGGACCAGGCGCCACGGCGGCCGCCCTTCCCCCTCCGCTCCTCCGGTCGAAGCCTGCCCCACAAGACACACTCTGCGGCTTCGGAGTCCAGAGCGGGGCGCCGAGGGTCAGCTGCCCCCCCGCCTCGGCTGCTGGAACCCTGCTCCCCAGGACCGGTCGGGGACCCTGGCTCCGGCCCTGCCTGCCCCACCCCCAGCTGTTGATGGAGGCATATTCGGACTTGCGGAGGTGGCGCCACCTGGCGACATATTTGGAAAATACACCGTCACCCCCCCAGCCTTGGGGGTCCCTACCTGGCTCCCCAGCACTGTACCCTCTCGACCCCTCGAGCCCAGGACTGCCCCGGGCGCGGCTGTCTGCTCCCTAGCCTTCCTTCAGAACCATTTGTTAAGAGAGAGGTCATTGCTGGGAGAGAGAGGCAGCCCCTGCCCCCTCCCCCCATGACTGGGGTGAGGCGGTCCAAACCTACAGTCCAAACCTACACCAGCCTCACAGCTGACAACACTCCTCTGTCTTCTCGGGTCACAGATATTCTCACCCTCTTGCAAACAACACAGTCTTCATAACACCCACACGACCTTTCCCACATTCAGTCCCACGCAGCCACAACCACAATCTCATCCATCACGTGGTTCCATGTTCCTTCTTTCCATAATCTTTCAGTCTAACTCACACACAGATATACCTGGGTGTCACACACCTTGCTGTGCACAGTCTTTCACATCGACTCAAAGCCCTTCCTACACAGACGCAATTTTAAATGGGCTCCTCTCCTAAGCCTCTTCCACACACTGGTGGTCTCCTTCAGTCAGACAACTTTACACACACACACACACACACACACACACACACACGTGGTGTTTCACAAACATTTTACCACACAGACTTTCCTCCAGGGGTCTCTGTGCCCCAGTCAGGTCAGCTGACACCCACAACCTTGGACAAGGAGCTCCTCCCACCCCCTACTTGCATCCCCACCCCCAAGGCCAAGGCCTGCCAGAGCTCCTCTGCCCCAGGAAGGAGCATCCCCCCCTTCCAGGCCACAGCCCTGGCCGGCTCTCAGCTCTATTTTTAGCTCCATGGAAAGGGTTGTTTTTCTTTCTTTTTCCCTGGAAAGGGAGACATAGCCCAACCACCCTCAGGCTCACCCCAGACCCTGATCCTTACAAGAACAGACTGAGCCCCTCTCCCCAGTAAAGACCCCCTCCTCTGGCCTTGCCCTGATCCCAGCCTCTTGGGGGACCAGGAGCCTCCTCCCCTTTCTGGCAGCCAGCCCAGAAGCTCAGGCAGCAGCTGGGCTCAGCATGTGTGGAGGGGTGGAGGGTGGGGCAGAGAAGGAGGCACAGGGCCTCTGCCCACTCCCTCATTCCCTGGGGGAGGGGGCTCATCCTCCCTTCTAGGCGAGGGACATAGGCACACTCCCGTATTTAGGGGACATTTACCCTCATGCATTCTCCGGGAATGGAGGGCTTCCACTCTTGCACGAGTGGGCTTTCTGCTCCTACAGTGAGAGGAGGAGCTCTCCGTTCTGCAAGTTGGGGTGGTGGTAGGAAGGGGACCCACCGGCGCTCAGGCAGCTGTTCCCCAGACTGGAGGTATGATGCGGGGGCTGCTGTACACTGCCGTCCAGCGATACCTTCAGGGATGAGGGCACCATGAACATGTTGGGGTGAAGGAAAGAGAGGAGCCCAGGTAACCCCACCGAGCCCTACAGTCTTTAGTCCTGTGCTACCCGGACTCCAGGGGGCGTTGTGCTCCCATTTCTGGGGGAAGGCTTAACGTTTCTCGAGGCGGAGAATGGTATACAGCCCGGCAGGAGATCTCGCAGACTCGCCCAGGACTGGGGAGGCCGGTCCTCGCCCAGCTGCGGGGGTGGGGGAGCACAGCCCACTTGTCTGCGAAGCGATCACGTGCTCAGCGCCTGTTTACGTCTTAGTCTTCACCTGTGGGCGGCCAGGAAGCAGGAACCTCCGGAGTTGTCCCACCCGGCCCGCCCCCGTCGGCGGGCGCCGGGCAGCCCTTTTCTCCCACCCCCGTCAAGTATGCGACAGCAGAGCACCCTGTCCGCTGGGGGTCCCTGTGGGCCCGTGGCGCTGCTCCAGGGACTGCAAGGGTAACCCAGGGCGCGTCCTTTCCGGAGTGCACGTGTGTTCGTGTGTCCCAAGTGCGTGGGTCTGTGTGCGCGCGTGTATGGACCCGTCGGCGAGTTTCCGTGTCGATTCCCTGTTCAGTCTCCTCGCCTGCACCCCCCACCCCCAGCCCAGAGTGAGACCCCCTCCTCACTCCCACCCCCCCGCCCGGCTTCCCTAGACCGGAAAAGTTCGCTCCGGAGCCGGGATGTGCGGGAGGCTGGAGTTCCGACACCACCACCGCCCCACCACTCACCCCGCGCCACCTGCGCCGCTGCTCCACCTCCTGCCCAGCTCCTGCTCCAGCACGGGTACTTCCTCGCCGCAGATCCGCCGGCTCGCAGCCAGCTCCGGGCTCCGGACTCCCGGCGCCCGCCTGGCCCGGCCTGGTAGAGCGGGACGGGGCGGGGCGGCTGAAGCCGCGCCCCCGACCCAGGGAGGGGAGTGGTCTGCCCCGCACACCCCCTACCCCACAACAGCCGACCTGGTACCCAGCCCCGCGGGAGCTCGGCGGTGGTGAGGCTGCCCCTCTGGCCTCCGACTTCACAGCTTTCTGGATTTGGTTTTCGACGTGGGGGAAGGGACGACCAGCACGTGACCGAGAACTACTCTACCTGGCCGCCCTAACCCGGTCCGCGATAGGGCTTTACTGCCACCTGCCTTGCCCGGTAGGGAATCAGGCCGGACCCACTCCGCGCATTCCCCAGGAGCAAGGAAAACCCCTAGGAAGCAGACAAAGACCGCTCGGGTTTCACCAAAACAGACCCCGCCCCGCCCTCTGGTCTGTCGGAACTGCCCTAGCAGAACCAGCACCTCCCCTCCCCCTGAGCAGGAGTCCGCCCAGGTGAGCCTGTTTGCCAGTCCTGGCCCCCCACAGAGCATGGCCAGGCTTCCCTTCTACTCCCGAAGTTCCACCCACAGGCACAAACAGGAAGTTGCACGGTACTGCGGGGTGGCACCTAGGGCTCCCTCCGTGGCACCCAAGGCAGCCTGTGGCAGGGTACCTACAGCTCTCTGGGCCGTACTTGCAGCCTGAGTACTTGGGCAACCAGAGTCCAGTGAATTTAGTCTCTTCTCAAACCCACCTGTAGTAAAGAAACTGGAGGACCCAAGATGCCCCCTCACAAATATGACGCTAAATCTGAGGACAGGGCTGTAGATCCAAGCTGGGCCCGTTGTGGCCAGGCCCTTCCTGATCTCTCAGGGAGATTATTAGTATCCAATCGGATATAGGCAGAGCCCAAGTAATTTGCCTAGATCCACTCTGGTTGGGCACAGGGACAGTGGCTCCCAGGGACCTTAGACAGGACCCAGGGATCCCCCACAGCTTTCTAGGCTCCAGGGACTCCTGAACACACTTTGAGCTAATCTTGATGTGAGGAATTTAGGACAGGTGTGCAGTGGAATGTGTTTGCGTATGGTCTGGGGGGTCTGGGGGATCATTAACTTCCCCTCCCTCCCATCATTCTGGTTTGTGCTGTGTGTGGGGAGTCTGCTAGGAGGGCTGGGCAAGACGAATAGGCAAGTTGTATCTACTCTTCTATCCCCAATTCACAGAGACCTCAAAAAGTTCCCCTAATGGAAATCCCTAAAGGATTTCCTGAGAGAACACACCAGGCGTTTCCAGTAAACCAGAGTCCTCAGAGGTAGGAATGACCTGGTGGTGTACATCTGGAACACATGGCTGATGTTCAATGTTACAGACCCTGGGTGAGGCAGAGACCAGCCAGCGGCTGGGAATGATTACTGCGGGATTAGGAGGACTGGCTCCAGCCAGTCTGGGAGAGACCCCCAAGAAGGGAGGCCCTGGAGGAGCTACCCCCTCCCCCCCACCGCAGGTTCTTCCCCAGAGAGCAGCTTTGTTCCAGGGTCTGTTTCGGGAGACAGTTGTAGCCACAGTTCTCACACACAACAGACCAGACACCTCAGAGCCTTCCACAGGTCCCCAGAAGCAGCCCCCTTAGGTGGACTGGGAGGACTTGATAAGGCAGCCCTGTTCAAGGGAGCAGGAAACCTCTGCCCACCCTTAACAAAAGTCTTCTCCCCAGTCCCCTCGGAACATCTTGCATTCTGACCATCCCTGCATGCAAATCTAAAGGGAAAAATGGGACTTTAGGATATCAGAGGAAGTGAGATGGGAAAGTGCCCTCATTTAAACTATTTCTGACAAGGTCTCTAACTTTACAATCTCCTTCAGTACTTGTTAAAAAAGAGGAATCCTGCACCTTTCCTCAGACCTCCAAAATTGGAAACGTCTGGGCATGCTTACTGGCTAGTAGGCCCTAGGTTCTGCATTTTTAAAGAGCCCCAGGAGTTCTGACACATATGAACATAAGAGAAACATCTGAGCGTACAAGGTCGAGGAAAATGGTCAGAGAGCCAGATAAGAAGACACTGAGTATGAATCCACATTGAGAGGTCATTGAGTGGCTCATATCACCTAGGGACAGCTGGTCAGGCGGGGCCCAGGCATGTGGCCCAGTGACCCACACCTCTGCCACAGATCACATGGATATCCTCAGGGGAGATAGGGATAAAGAGGCACCATCCTGTCATCCCTAAGCCAACAAGAGGCATAAAGGGATGTGTGGGTCAAGGTCCTTTAATGCCTCTGCTTCCTTGGGGGTGCACAGCTCAAAGATGCCCAATTCAAATCAAGAGGAAAATCCAGTTATAGGCTGGGGAGACACCTGGTGGACAAACAAGAAAAAACACAGAAACAAAGGCAATGGCAAAAAGTTTTTTTCAGTATAACTAGAAAAGGCTTTACAAAAAGTTATGACTGTGTCCACTCCAGTGGTCTGAGGCAGCATAACATGAAATCAGTGTCCAAGTGGCAGGCACTCTGGGCTCAAAGCTTTCTTCTCTGGCCAGCTTCCACCTCTGGGGCCCTGATATTACAGGGCCAAGCACCTAGGATCCGATGGTAGCAAGTGCCACCTCCTGGCAGGGTCCAGGGTGGGCCGCAGAGGACTCTGATGCCCACCATGTCATCCTGTAGCTCCAAACCTAGGCTGGAGTTTTGGCAAGAAGTCCTCTATTCCCTTCCAGGTTCAGAGGGCCTGAACCCAGTGCTTTGAACTCAACTTGCTCAATCCCACCTCAGGGCCTGTGTCTAATTTTCCCTCTGCTTGGATCCCTCTTTCTCTAGATGTTCACATGGCTCAATCCTAGTTCTTTAGGCCCCATCTTCAATGTCCTCTGCTTAGAGATACCTGTTCAGACCTTAAACTAGCCTATAAGCATTACTGCATTACTGTTTTTTTCTTCATAGCATATCTCGCTGTCTGAAACTATGTTTTGTTCATTTTTTTTCTTGTCTCCCTTACCAGACTGCAGGTTCTAGAGAAGCAGAGACTTCATCTGTCTTGTCAGTGTTGTACTCCCAGGACCTAGAACAAACTTTGGCACACAGGAGGTTCTCAAATATTTGCTAAACTGAATTCTCCCGGTATGGAATTCTGCCCTAGGTAGGCCCCTCTGACTGAGGGGGGTCCCTAGCTTGAGACCACAGGACAGAGGTAGCCTAAGCAGAGGACTAAGAAAGTCTAAGTCTCAGCCTGTGTCTTGTCAGGTTCATTTCAGAGTCCAGCTCTCCAATGCCTTCACCTTGAGGGCTTAGAGGGGTTTGGCTGGTAGGAGTGGTGGGCCTGACCCAAGCAAGTCTCAGAGTTCTGGGGCACAGCCCCCTTTCTGCCAGAAGAGGGCTTTTTGGTCACTAGCCCATTGTCATCCTTGACCTTCTTGAGCCGAGCCTTGCTCTTTGGTGGTATGGAGAAGGTAAGAGAGCTCTTGTTGAATTCCAGTGGGAAGACACCTACGTCTCCATCAAAGCGGTTCTTGGACACCTGCAGATACCGTTTCCCTGGACCAGTGACCAGCTTCCTGTCCTGTAGAATCAGAACGTTGTCTGCTTCCTGGCTTGCCTGGGGGATTGGGGCAGGAGGAGGAAGAAGCAGTGAGAAGACATGAGAAGAAGAAAGGAAGGCTGCTGAACCTCCAGGGAAGAATGGCAAAGCTCCCTGAACTACTGACCATGATGATGGGGCCACTTGAGTCTTTCAGTTGCTCGACTATCTCACTGCCCCGGATTCTGTAAACGCTGTTCCTTCTGCTTGTGACACTTCTCCTCCACAGCTCACCACCCCACTCTACCCCATCTTCTTGTCATTCAGGTCTCAGTCTAAATGTCACACTTCATCAGAGACCAAACCCATGAAGACCCCCATAAAGAAAGAACCACCATCTTTGCACATCTGTGTCACTCTCTTCCCTAGCTCCATGTTTGTTCCGTTGTGGCATAGTTT